TCAGGTACTGGATACCTACTCTCCATAGCGGCCCATTTGTCTGGTTGACATCTAACATCTTCCTCGAAGGGATATCCTTCCTTCCCGCTTGACAGGAGTCGTCTCCAGAGGCTGAGGGCTTAGGTCCCTTTTCCAATTGCCTTGTCAATGCTCCTTTCCCTAGAAAGTGATCCCAGATGCTTGGCTTCCCTGCCCTCTAATTCCAGGCTACTAGCCCCATTATCCCAGCATCAGAGCAGCCAAGTGATAACACGCTCACCTGGACAACAGCTGAAATCATTCTGCATATCCTGCAGCTCACTCGGGGATAGGGATTTGGTGGTTACCTTTGGTTCTGTCTCTTTCTCCTGTTCTTGTGATGGCCCTGTTTCATCTTCCTTTACTAAACAAGCTGCCTTTCGTGTTCATTTTTTCTTGTGTATGGGAGCGACTGATACTGGCATGGGTTGGTCCTCTGGTTCAGTTGCATCACCCATTGCCAGAGTCTGAGTAAGCGCAGTGCCTGTTGCCAGGGTTGGAGTAGCCACAGCAATTGTCACCAGGGTCGGACTAGCCGAAGTGCTTGCTGCTGGGGTCGGAGTAAGCCCAGCACCTGTCACTAGGGTTGGAGTAGCCACAGTGTCTGTCGTTGGGGTCAGAATAGTTGCAGTGCCTGTCCCTGGGGACAGAAGAGCCGCAAACAGTTGCTTAACCTTAAACAAGATCTGAATCACATTCATTGGTCCTAGCAATAGGATGACAATGGTTTCAACGTCCAAAGGATATTCAAAATTTTCAAAATTCTCAAATGCCATTGTATTTGGGCTGGTGGAGAAGGAGAAGACATGGAAAGACGTTTCCTCCATAGATTGGCTCTCCAAGGAGAAAACGTAAAAGATGTAATTATTAATAGTTCCCGACAGATGGCTCCCGAAGTACAGAGGTGACAGCAGTGCTGAGTACAAATAACCAGATTAGTTTCCTGACCAGCAATTCTATCATACCATAAACCCGTGTTACAAAGTACAGCAAAATCATAACCTTAACCCAGACCCAAAGATAATAAACAATGCAACAGGGAACACATTCTGCAAGAAAAGTATTACATAGTGCAACTCTGAGAACCAGTGCAACAACTCTGAAAGCAAGTAAGTCAACATTGTGACCAGTGACTATTAAACTAATATAATGAATGCTTATAACAAATTTGCTTTAACATGCTGTGGTCAGATCTGTTGTTATCTCAACCCTTTGTGCCCCACATTGGGCATCAAAAAGGGCTGTCGTGGTTTAAACTCAGCCTGCAACTAAGTACCACGCAGACGCTCGCTTACTGCTTCGCCCCAGCAGTGCAATGGGGAGGAAAATTGGAAAAAGGTAAGACCCATGGGTTGAGATAAGAACAGTTTAATAACTGAAATAAAGTAAAATATTATACTAACAACAACAATAGTAATAGTAATGAAAGAGAGACAACAGAGAGAGAGAGACGAGTAAAACCCAAGAAAACCAAGTGATGCACAGTGCAATTGCTCACCACCCACTGACTGATGCCCATCCCATCCCTGAGCAGCGATCAGCCACACCCACA